TTCGTTTCGCGTCAAAACGTGGTTGCGATGTGCGTGGCTCAAATAACTTGATGGTCCTGTCTCGCGGCGCCGGGGTGTCGTCCGTGGTACACCGCCGACGCCGCCGCCGCACAAACGACAACCACGGCGAATTCGTTTCGCGTTGAAACGTGGTTTTGATGTGCGTGGCTCAAATAACTTGATGGTCCTGTCTCGCGGCGCCGGGGCGTCGTCCGTGGTACACCGCCGACGCCGCCGCCGCACAAACAACTGAAACAACAACTGCGGCGAACGCAGGCCCTCGTGCGCGCCGGACGGTGGGTCTAACCTATAATATTAATTAAAAACGTGTTACAAATGTGTCGTGCACGTTCGCGCGACGTAAAACCACGATTAAAGATATACAGGTTGCACATCTGATAAGGTGAAATACGAAATGACTACCAATAATTAACCAGTGGCGCTCCAAGCGGCAGTATTACAATTAACCGATTATAGATATATAGGTGTAAAATTAGTTCTAAATGTCGACACATATGGTTGAGTGTTGACATTAAGCGCCACTAGTTAATTATTAACAGCTGATTTTTATAGTCACTTTGTAAATCAGTCTGGAAGCGGTTTACTATAGGGCGATGTGCAACCTGTATATCTTTAATCGTGCGTAAAACCATAGATAATATTGTCCGTTATCTTTATCATCTATGGCATTGTGGCGATACCGGGGTCTTATCACCACTCGCGCACCGCAACGCGCGCCTTTATTCATATTTTTATGTTCTTCGTACAACGATCGATCGCGGCCCCCACTACGCTCGGCGGCAACGGCTCGCGCTACGACGCGGTTGGCCGCCAAACTCTCGTCCTCCAATATCTTTTCGCAACGCACCGCGACACAACTGAAGCTCCGAGCCCGCGACGTCGCTTTGCGCAATTTTGTACCGCGTTCGCGCATTATCGCGCACTCTGTATATTTCGTACTGCGTACGCTGTACGCCATTTTTAATTATTGCCAAGTTTACTGCGTAGTACTTGCCAATTAGTTGCCATTATGCCGGGTTTACACGATGCGTAGTACTTGTCATTAGTAGCTCATGGGTAGCTACTTGTCGTTAGTAAATAGAACGGCGTCCTATTCACTCGCACTCCCGGTTTTACTAATACTAAGCACTTTTTTTCTGTTTACACGCAATGTGCAAGTGCGAGTGACAAGTACTAATGACAAGTACTACGCATCGTGTAAACTAGGCATTACTCATTAGTACTTGTCGCTCGTGGAGGCGGTACCTACTTGTGTTTAGTAAATAGAACGGGTCTCTTGCACTCTTGGTTTTACTAATACCAGTGTTGGGTAAATTACTTTTAAAAAGTTATGAAATCTCGTTACTCGTTACTTCAAATATTTTTATTTTAATTACATTTGCGTTACCTAAAATTATTTTTATCACGTTACATTACTTTTTCATTAATAAAGTAGTGCGTTACAAACAACGTTCCTTTTTTTATCATTTTTTTTTAACCATATTCAATTAATTTGATTCAATAATTGTTATCTATATATTTTACAATAGACCTAGTGATAATAGACCTATCTTAGTATTGTAACGTGCTACTCCGCGTTACTTGTAGAAATGGAAGTAATAATTGAACAAAACCTCTTTGATGATAGATATTTATTGTATTTATTTAATGTAAACAGTGTTATGGAAAATATTCTAAGTCCAAATAATTATATTTATTGACTTAAGCGAGTTGTGACTATGACTTATGAGTATTTAGTGACTGTGCAAGATGAGGCTGGTTGTTCGTCTGATGAACGCTTGTCCATCAGCTCTCCTCGATGGGTCTCTCCAGTCCCTTCCACAGATTCACATGACCATACATGGTCATCCTGCGGTTAGGCCTATCGTGGGATTGTCATACGGTCCTCGTTCTGGCTATTTGTGGTGTCATTTAATATAACAGCACAAATCCTAATTCTTAGTATTTTAGAATTATTTATATACGTAGTCATACAACTTACGAAATAATTTACGAAAAATTCAAACTATATACAATATACATACAAACAAATATGATATGTATTTATTGTGTGATATAATATAACAATGAACACTTTGAGAAATGTGCAATTATAATTCCTAAAAAAAATTAACATATAGGTAGATAGTTAGATACATACAACATACTATTATATTAACCAATACAATACATATAAACACTACCGTCTACCTATATTGTATATAAATTAATTTAAAAAAAAAAAATGCAAAAACCTGCATGTTAAACTGTTAAAGTTCTGTCAAGTCAATCATCACCGTTTAAGACGAAACTAAAATGAGCAATCCGTCTATCACCTATATATAGTAGGTATATCACATAGAGTGGTATGTGGCTTCGCATGTCCGGTGCCATTCCTTATGTAAAAAGTGTAAAGTCGACAACCGTGTTGGAGTGTCTAGCAAGTCAGTCATCTCAAGTCAAAATCGATTAACTTTCAATTTAGCCACCTAGGTAGGCAATCCGAAATAAAATACAAACTATATTTATATAACAATCATGGACTTTTTGAAAAAATATGCAATTATAATAATTCCTAACAAAACAAATATAATATGTACCTATTTATTGTATGATATAATATGACAATGACTTTAAATAATAATAATGTACGATATGTTCCTGTATTATTATATTATTTATTATTTATTTATTTTAATTTATATGAAAAATAACGTGAAAAAAAAAATGCAAAAAAAGTCAGGTTTCCGGGCGGCCGTGCAGACCTTGAGGCAATGCCGGGATTCGACGCTCGGGTAGCGTACGATGGATTCGAGCCCGGGACCTACGTGTTTCCTACCTAACGCCTAACCTACTTGGACACAGTTTGAGATGTGAAATACGTTCAAAACATCAACACTTAAGCCGTGCGTCTACGGAGCGACGTAAACCGATATATTCGATGTACCATGTACATCGATGTAATCGCATATAATTTGCTTGTAATACGCGCATCTCCCATATATATATATTTAACGGGGCGTGTGAAAAGCGTTTTTCGTTAATAATTATTACATCATAGGGAAAAATTAAATTATACACTTATGTATATGTATATATACGCGTACGGTAGGTCGGTCGCCGGCGTAATTTCTAAACGCGATTGCGAGGCGAACGAACCGATTTCGGGGGAAAAGCCCATATAAACGGCTTTAAAAAGACGTGGACTACACGATTCGGGCACAAACGGCGTGCGAATAGACAAAACGGTGGGAGAAAAGGAAAAAATCGGCAAAAAAGTCCGGTCGGGAGTGTATTTTTCGATCGACATTGCACGAATATAAAGTATAAACCGCACACCGGTGGCTTCGAATTAAGTATATAAAAGGGCGAAAAGATATCGTGTAAAAACAGCTAATTTTCCGAAAATCGGCGAAATGATAGGAAAAGAGGTGATAACGAAAAACGTTTTAAAACCGACCGCCGCCACTGCGAAGGTAAGCGATTGGTCGCGCTATAAGGAATCGACGGGACATAGCCGGCGGGCTGGGGAAACGGAGCAGTGCTTCATTTTTTACGCCATGGGTTCGCTATAGCCGGCGTTTTCCTTTCCATTGGTACACTATAGACAGCTGATTTCCTTGTCATTTATAATGACGGTTATAAATGATGGAATGATGAATTTTAATTTTTATTCCAGAAAAATTTATTTTATATTAACAATTTTTATAAAGTTAAATGTTAAAATCGTTTTGTACAATCTCCACCAACTGTTTTACTCAATCTAGTATACATAATAATCTTTTCAGTATATTAGCACCCATTTTAATAGTTACATTATTTTCAACGACACAGGTAATTTTAATAAATGCTCTTTGTTCTACACTGGGACTTACCACAACCACATTGATTAACAGTCATCCGTCATAAATAAATACTTAAATAGACAATTGCAGTATTATTAATAAGTGATGTCTAGGGACATTTTAATCATGTGCTGCTATATTGGTACTCAAAAAAGCGACCAATATGGACACTGCTGCTATTGTAGTGATATTCTATGAAAAACTATACCTTATGGTCCCCAAACTGCAACAAAGTGACCCTAGGCACTGACAAAAATGTCTGTCCATTCTAAGGAGTAAAAACTAAGCATTTCATATTTTAAGTTACATAGGTCTTGTGAATGTGTTAAGTAAATGAACAAATGAACATTAGTGTGTGTAATTCGTAGTACCAATCACATTGTATAAGGGCATCATAGTGACCAGATATATGTAAGTCTATTGTAATTTTACTTACGCAAACGTGTCACCACATATTACTTTATAAAATTACCTAATGAACAGCATATCGTTATTACCAACTTACTATTATTTGTGATCTATAATATTGTAAAATTTGATTAAAAGTTTGTTGTACCTTGGTACTTATTTATGTTTTTAACGGATATTTTATATTTTATAAATTATCTACATGTTTTAAATTTGCCCCAACAATTTTCGTTATTTGCCCTTTAAATTGTGTAGCATCCTTTGCCCTTTTTCCCCAGTCCGCGCCTGGTTAATAAGGTTGTCTGGAATTCCTAGGCTATTTCCTAGGCTATTTAGGTTTCTACATGGTTCGATATTGTACGAAGAGGTGTTTGACTGTAAGGGGTTCTCTGCAGGTTTGGCACATTGTAGGTAGGTTCTTCTCTTCATATAAGATGTCCACGTGAGTGGCCTATACATAGTCTGTTAATAATTATTTAGATAAAATATTATATATTTTATTCAAAGTTTAGAAATTAATAGCTTTTCAAATTTATCCAAAATAGTTAATAATAGTTATCTATAGTTTTTTTATGTTGCAATATTATATTAATAACTTTGAACAAATATATATAAAAAACATAATAAATAATATAACTTATTGCTTAAGGTTTTTTCCTATTGATATAATTTAATTAATATTTTCCTTTTTTAGATTGAGGAAATTATAATTTAAATAGTTACAAAATATCAAACTGTTGGACAGTCATGAAAATGGTGCTGTCACAAAGACAACGTGAAGAATTGTAAGTTTCTATGTTAACAATTTATGATAATTAAGCAATGGCATTAAAAATATTGAAGATTTATGCATGTTAATTTTAATTACAATAATATTATCAAACAATTATTAAATATATTAAAAAAATTATTTCATATTTTAATGTGGTTTTATTACATCTACTACAGCACTCTAAATTAAACCTTGTGCATAGCTAAATGTTAGCCTATAATACATTTATTTGGATAATGTTGTAACCTTTTCTTATTTAGTCAGCATTAGGTATTTAGAAGTTATTTATAATCTCAGATCTGAATAACTCTTTTTAAATTATAATACATTTTACTTTAACCTGAATGTTATATTTCAGTAGAATCTTAATAGTTTTTTTTTATTTTAGAAATAAAGCAATTGCCGATTATCTTAGTAGCAATAGTTATCACAATGCCTTGGAAGGATTAAAAAAAGATGCAGATATGCCTGGCGAAGTAGAAAATAAATATGGTGGCTTACTTGAGAAAAAATGGACATCTGTAATTAGACTGCAAAAAAAGGTGATTAATACTCAACAATAGTACAATAGTATTACAAATAATCATTATACTACTTATTTAAATATGTGATAATCGTATTAATATTTAGGTAAGCGAACTTGAATCCAAACTTTCTGAGTATGAAAAAGAAATAAATTCTGGAGCTCCAAAAAGAGCATTACGATCTCCAAGTGATTGGATACCAAGAGCCCCTGAAACACACTGTTTAACTGGTCACAGAGAGACTGTCATCAAAGTTATATTTCATCCTGTTTTTAATATTCTTGTATCTGCAAGTGAAGACGCAACTATAAAAAGTTGGGATTATGAGACTGGCGAGTATGAGAGAACTTTAAAAGGTCATACAGAAGCTATTCAAGATATCGCATTTGATGAAAGTGGCAAACTATTAGGTTATTTAATGATACAAAAAAAACTGTGTGTTTTTATTATAATTAACACATATTTTCAGTTTCCTGTAGTGCTGATATGAGCATAAAGCTGTGGGATTTTAGTCAAACATATGAATGCATCCGTTCCATGCACGGTCATGAACATAGTGTATCTGGAGTATGTTTTCTTAAAGGAGGAGATTTCATAGTTTCTTCTTCAAGGGATAAAACAATTAAAATGTGGGACGTAAATACGGGGTAAGATTATAAATAATTAGTTTTTTTTTTTTAATTTCATTTTTGTATTATATCTTTTCCAGATACTGTGTTAAAACATTTACTGGTCATCGTGAATGGGTCAGAAAAATCAAAGTTTCCCCATGTGGTCAATTTTTAGCCTCATGTTCTAACGACCATACTGTAAAAGTTTGGATAATTGCTGCAACCCAGTGTAAAGTAAGTTTGAACATTTTATTAATAATTATTTATAATTTAACAAAACAATTTTTTTTCAACATAGGCTGATTTACGAGGACATGAACATGTAGTCGAATGTATAGCTTGGGCACCAGTTGCATCGTCATCAGCTATTAATGAAGGAGCTGGAGTAGATCAGAAAAAAAATGGTTATGAAGGTCCATTTATAATATCGGGATCAAGAGATAAATCAATTAAGGTATAAAATACATATATTTTGGTTTTAATTCAGTCTCAATTTCCTCTCAATCAAAAGTGTAATTCCAATCAAAATTGTGTTATAATCACTATAAAAAAATAATAAATCTATTTTCCTGATTATAAATAATGAGCTTTAAAATAACTTGATAAAAAAAAACCTGAGAAGTTTTACTATACAGGTTGCAACAGGAAGACCTGTCAAATTAAATAAGTTCTAATAATATTTATAGCAATATTTTTTATATAATTTTAATATTGAAAATAAAATTTAAATCTGATATCAATTTTTTGAAAAATTCAAAATAGCCAACTTGTAAATCTGGTTTTATGGAAAAATATTGATTGTAAAAACATTTAAGTTAAATTTTTAAAAATTCATTATTTTTATGAAGTAAAGGTAGATCTAGTCATTAAAAACATTTAAAATTATAAATTATAACCTTTTTTTAAATATTATAAGACAAGTTTTTAAATACAAACTTTTTTCAATCTAAATATTTTTTTTAAAAGTTATTTACAATCAAAATTTTTTTAAAATTGATAAGAACATAAGTTACATCTTATTTAATATGAAAGGTCTGTTAAATTTGATAGGTACTCGTCCTATATGCTATCTACCGCACGTTCGATGGTTTAGTATGCTATCTACCTTTACTTTGCGTATGGAATAAAATGTTTGGCACCCTTTTTTTGTACATCGATTATAAACTGTTTTCAAAATATTACCTTCCGAATCACGTTTTCGACTATTTTTCAGAACTTTTTTTAACCCCCCACCACAAATTGTTTGGTTTTTAATTTTTGTACATGTTTGGTCGATTGGTAATAAACCGCGTATGCTTAAAAAATGTTCGCACATCTCTTCATTTTGAATTATGTGTCGATATAAATAACTCATAGTTGACAAACTCATAATAATAATTATTAAATAATAATAAATAAATCACAGTAAAACCACGTATAGGTATAATCGACACGACTCACAAACACACACTAAACAGGTATAATATAAAGATATACCTACTAACCTACCTAACTTACTAAGTTATAAATATAATATAATTTGGGGTTTCAATAAAAGCTTAATCTTAAATCTTAATTGCAAAATGATAAAGTATACATAATATACAGCATACGGTCATACGGTAGATATCATATCATATATCATATCGAGTACCAATTTGATATAATAGATTTTGAGTGTTCCTAGTCATTGAGTAAGTCACTGTAATGAATGTGTTAAATTTAAATTTAATTTTTAGAACAGTACGATGAAGCAATTTTTTGCCAAAAACATTGCCCATATTATTGTTATTAACGTATAAGTGAATACTAATTGCTGTAGAATTGTATGAATATTTAATTTTTGTAGAACAAGTACTCTCCTCTTTACTTGTATTAATTATATTTCCTTTAAAATTGGTGATTTTAAAAGATTTTCTCCAAACATAAAATTATTTGATATTTTTAGGTAGAGTTATAAATTCTTATTGCATCATTTTTACTACGTATAATTTAATATAATTAATGTTCTGGCATACTTGTACTATTAAATGAAATTTATTAACTTTAAGTTTTTTGTCTAGATGTGGGATGTCGCATCACGTTCATGTTTATTTACTATGATTGGACATGATAATTGGGTACGTGGTTTAGTTTTTCATCCTGGTGGTAAATATGTTATATCAGCAAGCGATGATAAAACACTTCGAATTTGGGATTTGGCAAATAAACGTAATATGAAAACACTATTGGCTCATGGACATTTTTGTACTACAGTTGGTAAGTTATCTAAACAATTGCTTTTTCTTACAATTACCTACTTATTATTATTTTTTTTTCTAGATTTCCATAGATCACAGCCATTTGTAATAACAGGTAGTGTAGATAAGACTATAAAAGTTTGGGACTGCCGTTAATAGTTTTGGTTCACAAATTATATAATGTTCATTATTTTCTGCTAATTTTAAACAGTATCTCCACAATGATGTTTTCATTTTCTAGTCTATCATAGAAGTGTAGGTAGTTTGTCTCTCGCAAGTTTTATTTGTATAAAAGTAGCACTGCATTTTTTTTATAAAGAAATGCCCCACTTCTTTATGTATTGTAGGTATGTGTAATTTTTATTATTTTTCTCATTACTAGTTTTTAATAAAGTGTTAGGTTTAAAATAAAATATTATTTTATTTAAATACTTGCTTTTGTTTATGACAATGTTTAATTGTGTTAGAATACTCTTATTTTAATTAAGCATTTGAATTTATAATTATTTTTTGTATAATGCTTAAACTTAATAGATTTAACAGAATCCAGCTTAATTGAAATGTTTTTTATTATTATATCTATTACTTTTATTACATTTCTTTTATAATTATAAAAAAATTAATATTTTGGTGTATTAAGTTATCATATTAATATATTAAGAGTCATTGCATCTAAGATTTAAAGTATCTTTTATCAAATCATTTTGAAAATTTTGTTTTCTTAAATTTGTGTTTTACCATGTGAAAATTATGTCTTAAACAATATTAAGTTTTAAAGTTATACTTTTGTTCATTAATAGTGATTAAACATAATGCTAACTAATAAGTATACTATTTAAAATTTATACGAATAATAGCATTATCTAATTTTGATGATTTGTTTAACATATAATTTTTCATGAAAACTGGTAGTTTGAATAATGTAAATTAATGTTACGCATACTTAATTTATCAAAAATATATTATATTAGCTGATAAGATACTGATTTGAAAAAAGCAAGGGGAATATCTTCAGAGTATACTATAGTATAAACAAACTATATGGTAGTATACTATGAGTAGTACCACAAATTAAGATATATCTTAATTTGTGACTAGTACACATGTATTAAATTTGTACTTTTCATTGACTGTAGCGTCAAAGCAAAAACCTTTATGCAGACCCATTATGACATTTAATATTGTATGTTAACTGCTTATTTACTTATTTTTCTGAAAATTAACCACTTTTTCAGTGCCATTGATTATTATTTATAGATAATTCTTAATAAGCACAATTACTACAGATTATAAAATTGTCCTCTCTATAATTGGTTATTTTTAGTAATTTTTAATCAATGATTTAGTTATGCATTAGTAAATAATGAATTTCTTTTATTTATAATTAGTTAAGTTAATGGTTTTATAACTATTATTTATATTTTGATTCCATTTTCTCTGCGAATTATGACAAATTTGTACATAATTTTATAAAAATCTATAGCCTTTGTTACAATATTACAATTAAGCTTATTCATAATCAATTTATAAATTACTGTATTAAATTTAAAATGATCAGATTAGATGTTTTTGTTATTTAATTACCTATCTTAATAACATAAAACAGGAGCATGACTATCACATGTATTGTGTGTCTGAGAGAATAGTTTAAATAGTAACAAATAGGTATTAAAACTATATTTAAATATTATAAATAAAAATATAATTAAAAAGAAAGTTCAACATTCACAAAATAACTGTATGGAACTTTTTGATAAGATATAATATTTACTATTTTTATCTCATATTAATGATATTTTAGATACAATCGAACCAATGATTTCTAAATAGCAATATTGAATTCCATACTGACAATACAACATAATTTTAAAAAATGAGTAGGTATACTTACAATTTTGATATGTGCATAATAAACATTATAATTCATTTTTTCAATTTGATTCTTTAAATTTAATCTATAGAATCTAAATAGAACATCTTCTTCAATTCAATAAATGTGTAAATACTATGCAGAGACTGCTCCTGTAACATGGTTAGGGGGGGGGCTAAATCATAATTTTAAGAATAATATTGAATGTTTTTTTTTGTAATTTCGTTTGTAACTATATTTCTTTAGAAATGCAGGTTTTGGAGTGGGTCATGGCCCCTAGCACCCCTTTTACGGAGTCGCCCTTGATACCAAGGTTTTCAGATTGTTCCTATAATAAAAATAGCTCATATATCTTAAAAATAAAATCATCTTATATTGATTAAATGGTAAATTTACAATAAAAAATACATCTTTCAAATATTTAAACTTTTATTAAAATTCTTGACTAACTGTGGAATATCTTCTTCTTCTAGATGTTCTGCATTTAGTATAGCATTTCCTATAGCGATTGTTGTTCGTATTGAAGCACTATGAATCCAAATCTTTCCATTTGCCCCAATGACAATTTCATAGGGAACCATCTGTCCAAGTTGATAAAGTAGTTTTGAATTTGATTTCCTTAGTCTCAATGCATAATTTAAACTAACATTAATTAAAAAACCATTTTCTAACTGTCCAAGAATTATGCTGTTAGAATATTCTACACAACTGATCTCAGATTCCATAAAAGGCGTTGCCATTTTAATCTTAGCAGCTACGACATTCCCCACTTTGATGTCAGGTCTATTTTTTTTTTGTAGCATTTGTAAACGCTAAGTATGGAAGAGTAGCAAGTTCAGAAGCTCCGATATCAACTTTATACATTTCGGATGTTTTAGCGGCCACTATTCCCACTACAACATCATCCTTAGCTGGTATGTATTTTTTTTTAAAATATTCTATCCAAAAGTATTTGTCATCTTTACACCTCAGTACACCACCGTTGCATACGATTATTTTGTTGTCGACACTCTTCAATCCAGGACCAATAGTTTTTTCACTTCTTTTACAGTTGTCTCCTTTAAGAACTATATGAGAGACGTCATTGCCCGGTAACACAACGTTATTAAAATCCACCGAAGTCATCGTTGCCTGTGAATTAAAAATATAAAATTCTAGAGCATGTAAGGACGCAATAACGCTTAAGAAGTAAGAACGAGAAGTCGAGAACTAGAGCAGATAGATGATAATTGATATTTAATAGAAACGCCGAAGTACCGACGTCCGACAACCTACCATGATAAATTAAATTTGTAAATTGTCATGCAAGGCATGCAACCGACTACTTATCTATACGACTACCGAACGAAAAACAAAGAATTGCGATTGCCGGGCATCGGGCAGTTGGGTCCCCGAGATAACAGCCGTTATCATCAGCATTATTTATCAGTTTAATCTCATGGAATAAACGCCTAAATTGGGGACATATGATACATCATATTCATGTAGACAGTCTGTCGTGGTCACAGATATATACAATAATGTTATTTTATTGTATATATCTGTGGTCGTGGTATAATGGTAAATGGTAAACACCAAGAGTTAAGAAAAATTACAAAGCTCCACAAATAGTGTTGCTGACTGTAGCTCCACTAAAAATATATTCCAAATAAACAAAAATGTGTAAATTATGTTTTAATGGCCAATATAGTCTTTTGTTCCAAATAAGTTGGGAATAAAAAATGTTTTGATCACATTCATATAATATATTTAGTATAGTAGCACAGATTTCAGTAGTATAGTAGGTACAAGGCAAGGTTTATTATCCATAAACCTTGCGTTACACGGTTTAATAGATATTCTATCTTAAATTGTTGTACGTCGTGATCACGATGTAGTGAAGATAATTATATCACACATTTTATGAAAAATAATATTTTCTCACTGAGTTTACGTGGGTTGGTATACAATATCTGTGATTTTGGGACGTTATCCCGTATCCGTCCGATTTTGGTCCTCTTGTCTTTAATCTTTATGTTAATAAAAAATAAATGATAAGACTTAAAAATTGATAACATAAAATAATATGTTGAATCGCAGCTCTTTTCAGACATTTCTCAATAGTTTTTTATCCGAGAAGCGAATGTAATTTTTTTTTTGCTTAAGTTAAAAATACATATCTAACACATTATTCGTCAAAATTCAGATACGTTTTAATTTTTAACTTTCCAGTTTAACTGTGTTAAAAGTTATGCATCATAATTATGTTCATGTTTTAAGATCGGTGAGCACAATGACAATTTTAATTTAAATAAATAATGCAGCAGATAGTTACTACTGGTAGACTGATTTCCCGTGCTCTATGGAATGGCTTCACTAATTTGGCACCTTCAAATTCTGAACACGTAAATAAGAAACGTGAGCCTTCATTCCTTTATGCCGTATGTGGTTTTCCTAAAGAATCTTCACGTAAACATCCTCCGGTTAAAGGAAAATTTGGAGATGATGCTTGGTTTTCTGCTAAAGGAAAAGCAATTGATGTACTAGGTATTTTTATTTTTATTAAAATATACTATTATATGCTTTCACGAATTAGCAATTTTATTACAATATACAAATAACAATGATTGACAAAATAAAATAATGTGTATTTATAGGTAACATATTGTTATTAATCTTCAAAATATCTTGTCAAATTAAACATCTGGTTATTCTTATTAAATTTATTAGGTGTAGCTGATGGTGTTGGCGGTTGGCGCCACTATGGCATTGATCCAGGCGAATTTTCAAGTTTTCTCATGACAACATGTGAGAGACTTGTATCTTTGGGAAAAGTTAAGCCAAATGAACCAAATAAATTATTAGCTCAAAGTTATTACGAGTTACTTGAAAATAAACAACCAATTTTAGGTAAGACATTTTTTGGTGTATATGTATTAACGTTTTCATTTAAATAATATAGTTTTCAATTGTATATTTAATTATGAATGCACTGGATCAATATTTTTTTTTTTTTACTATATCTAAGGCTAAAAATGTATGGTAGGTTATGTTTTAGAATTTTTTGTATCTAGTATTGTCATTTTTGTAAGGTGTAACAAAGAAAAACAAGTTGACAATTTAAAATTAATAATTTTTTAAAGAGTACAAATGTCCCCCAATTAATAGATATTTTATATAAAAAAACAAATTTAATTCTACAATACTTATCAAATTAAAACAATAAATCCTGTTACATGAATCATAAATTCATAAATTAACGAGTATTAAAGGCTAAAGTTCTGGGCTTATTCTATTCCACTGCGCAAAGTGACCTTAGTGTAAAAGAAATAGTAGGTATAACACTATGATACATGTCACTAATCTATAGTCAATGGCTAGCATGTTTTATTGAAAAATATGTACATTTGGTGCATCCTATGATTATTATAGCTTTAATTTAATATTTTAGAACCAAATTTAAGGGGAATATAAGAATCAGCATTGATTGGGGTGATCAATCTTAATTAAGCTTCTCAACAAATTCAAATATATTTTCAGAATTCTAATTATAGCTTTATTGTTACATTGGTCAAAAAATATAGATATTCAGCATCAATCCCCTTAATAAAAAACAATTTGGGATGAATTATCATGAATAAGTGAATAATTTTTAGGCCATATTTTACATACATAAAGGTATAACAAATAATATTTATTATTTAATATATAGGTATTTATTTTAACATTGTTAATTGTTAAAGATATTTAACTCAGAATGAGGTCGTGTTCGTAGCTATATGCCGTTTGTCTGTGGATGAAATGTGTAATACAAAATAATTACAATTTATTAGAATATTACTTTTTTTAATTAATATGAAAAAATATAAACTGTATAAAACATAGTTCTCATGTGCACATCTGTCTTTTTTTAACTATGATGCGATATATTAACAATTGTGCTTTAAAATATAATATATTAATATGCCCAGTTAAATAAAGGTAAAACATTTGAGATAAAAATATTTTTGTTCTTGTAAATAAGTAATTTATAATTTAGATGTAAAATTACTATTAACAATTGGTAATTTACTTGTGTTATATAATATAGTTTATGCTTGACTACTTTTAAAATTAAAATAACCTAACCAAATTACAAAACAATGAAAAAAATCCATGTCCTTTACAAATTGTCAAACTGTTAACTATGGATATTATAATTATGATTTACAGGAAGTAGTACAGCGTGTGTAGTGGTGCTAAACAAAGTGACCTCCAGTATATATACAGCCAATATCGGCGATAGCGGTTTTATGGTAGTACGTGGCGGACACGTTGTCCATCGTTCTGAAGAACAACAACACTATTTTAATACTCCCTATCAATTATCAGTTCCACCTCCTGCTCACAATGGTCAAGTATTAAGTGACAGCCCAGACTCGGCTGATACTTCAGATTTTGCTGTTGAGAATGGAGATGTCATTCTTTTAGCCACCGACGGAGTTTTTGATAATGTTCCTGACCATTTGTTATTAAAAGAATTAAGCCAAGTTGAAGGCGTTTGTGATCCTACAAAACTGCAATGTGCTGCTAACACAATTGCATGGATGGCTAGAATATTAGCCTTTGATAGGTCTTTCTTATCACCATTTGCACTTTCTGCTCAAGCTAACGGAATCAATACTGTCGGTATGATAATATTATTAAACATTATGTATATATTAAGATGGAATTGGGTCAATAACAAAATGTCCATGGTACTTGAGTAGGATATCTTAGAACTGTCTTTTACTCAAACTCACAGAGTCACGAGCTATAACCAAAATAAATTGAAAAATCTTTCTTAGAACTTTAAAATAAATTACTTCATAGTATTTTTTAAATATTTTTATCATAGAAAAGTTAAATAATTATAATTTAAAGTACATTTTAGATTCTGAGTGGAATGAATTCTTTTTCCCAATTAAATTCAAAATACATTACTTTGAAACAAATAGTATGATCATAAAAAATGTTACTGGTACTTAGCATTTATCTTTAATCTATATGAGTTATAGTGCTCAGATATTTTGTTATGAAAATCTGAGATTTTTAAATTAATTTATATGTACAATTTTCTTATTATTATTTATTAAAAATTACTAATCTAGTTGTGTTTATTGTATCATTTTTATATTTTTATAGGTGGAAAACCTGATGACATCACTGTGCTTCTAGCAACCATTGCCATGTGAATGAAGATGGAAAAATACTAAAAATAGATTGAAATTAAACTTGTTAGGGAGCATCTAGCTTATGTTTTATATTAAACCATAATAATTATATAATATACATACTGTCAATGAATTATGTTTTAGTGTATAAAGTATTTAGAATCTATTGATTTAACAAAATGAACAAGTGTGTTGCTTATTCTATTGTTTTAGCACCTTTGTTATGCATAAACAATTTTTTAATTTAAAAAAAAACATGTTTATCAGATTATATGTAAATATGATTGTATATATACACAATAGAAATTGAAATAAAAATGAGTTTTTATAATATGGTTATATTATAATACTTTTATAATTCTACAACCAGTTTTTTTTTTAAGTTCATAATAATCTTACTACTTAAATAGTTCAATTAATTAATTTCTTTTAAAATTTTGAATATATTAAATATGCATAATTGATAATATGCAAATGAAAATCAAGAAATATGTACTATTTCCCTAATATTGTGTTGGGGTTTATTTGGAAAGACCTTGTTATTCTCGCAGTCAATTATATGTTGCCAGCTCTAGCCTCTAGAGTAGGCACACTTGAAAATGTACACATACATTCTATTAAAATAGGTATTCGGAGGTTTTCCCATCGAAAAGTTGTAAAAACATCTCCATTCCCCAAAAACGTCTGAGTTGGTGGTTTTTTTTTATTATTTTTAAAAATTTTAAATGTTTACAATAATGTTGAGTTTGACTTAGATAACATGGAGTATTTAGTTGTCGTCAAAAATGACTAATCTTGTTATTCATTACCTATTTAATTGTGTATTTAATAACGATAATGTTTGTCGTTGTTTTAAATCAATAAAAAAAAAAAAAGACCTATGATATTTACGAAATATGTACTTATTAACCAAATATGTAAAAGCATTTAAAATAAATTTGGGTTTATTTCAATTAGAATGATCTAAATTGTATACATTTTTTCTCAGATTAAGGACAGTTTTTAGATATACAAATAAATTATTATTTATATATTCTTAAATTGTACATAGCAGTAATTTATATGAATGACTATGTTCAAGTGTTCAACAGAATAGTGCTGCTCTCTAGGAGAAAAAAAAGATACTAAATAGGCCGGTTTCGCTTTAATATTAATTACACGATTTTGAACAACTTGGTACAGTTACTTCAATTTTTCATTTTTTGTTGTTTAGGCCACTTTTACGCTCAGTGCCGCAAGTAATAAACTAATAACTAATAAGTATTAATATTTAATTTAATTTTTTAATTTTTATTCTTTTTCATTATGTTTATTTTCAATATAAAACCAGATTACTATATCAAATTTGCATTGAAAATCTCATGTTAATTGATATACAAAATGTGTTTTTTTTTAACACTCGAATTAACCATAATTAATTTGCATTTACCCATAACCAGAAAAGTGTATTAACCCGTAATACCCGAATTCAATAACCCGCATTTTCTTCCAACACCCGAAATCCGAAAAAATGATTCCGGTAAAAAGCCCTGATTATATGGCAAGGTATAGTCCATTCAGAATAAGAGCACACTAGATATACGTAGCAAAAGCGGTTTTCACGATTGCAGCCTGGTGTCGTCTTATTCTGAATAGAGTATAGACTCAAAACCTAACATACCTACAGCAAAGTTACTACCAGATTTAACACAATGAGATTTTGATAATTCATTTTCAGTAAATCAAATTTTCTTTTCCCTGTGAGCTTTGAGTTACCAAGAGTACACTGTAATTATATTTTTACATCTTTTGATTGTCAGAACTTCACAACAATTGTATTCATTAGTATAATCTCTGGATGTTCAGTTGAACAGCTTTTACTTCACCACACTATAAAAAATGAATTACCATTAGTCTGGCTTCACACATACTAAGGAGAAAGATAATATTCAATAGACCTTGATTTTTAAAAAGAAAATCTGAATATCACAATACTGGACTAATGAATAGTAAGTTTTTGTAATTTATGTTTAATACATTTAAATTTACATATAAATATAATATTAATTTCCTATGTATCTATCAATATTATTATAGGAGGGAAAAGTGTTTGAAGAACAATAAAAATTCTTTTATAATCTATAAAAGTGTAATTTAAGTAGCAATAAACTTCTTTAACACTATAACTATTCTGGTGTTTTTTTATGTGAGCTCCAGCCATGAAAACATTTTGTAAATCTACGTGATTCCTTGTTTTTTAATGCCAACATCAATTTTCGTGGTTTTTCTGGTTGTTTAACTCTTAGATGTTGTATATAAACCTGTAAAAAATGATATTTATAAATGTTTAAATGAAAATACTGAGTTATATACTTATATATATTAACAGTTATATTGTTTCATTACATCAGATAATCAAAAACTATATTATTATTATGGAAGATAATTTTATTAACCTTGTATATTGATTTAACAGCAATTAATATTTTAAAAATTCAGTGATCAGGTATGAAGTATTTTCATACCAGTATTTAATTCAATATCAAAAATTACTCAATAGTTATTACTAGAGCTTGTCAGTTCATGAATTTGCATATCAATCTTGCTAAGTCACATTTAATAATATTTAAAGATTTTTGCCTATTTGGCATATTCATGCGTTTTTCTATTTTACTGATCTTATTTAGTGTATTTTCGCCAAAATTTGATGAAAAATACAATAAATTATATTTTGGCATTGTATAAAATATATAGGAACTGTTTTAAAATGTTGTGATTTAAAATGAACTGAATATTTTTTTTATAAGATTATTATTTATTATCAGAATTTTTTGGAATTACTTTTAACAAATAAAACATTTAAATATAACTTGTAAAAATATGAATTGAAATTTCTTATTATTCTAAAAATTACTTATGATTTTTTTTTTTTTTTTTTAATCCACATAATTTTACTGCATAATTTTAGTTTTTTAGTGCACATAATATTTAAGTTCATATTTCTGAACTTTGTAAGGCAGGGATGGCCAACCCGCCCTGGAAAGTTTTGCAGCCCGCGAGATTTATCAAACATTAACAAAAAAAAAATTATTTTTGTGCCAATAGAATATTCTGGAATGCTCGTATTATTAACAACGTAGTAAAAGTAAATAGATTTTCATAACATTAATATCACAAAAGAAAAATTTTAGAATTAGAGAAATCTGGCACAAAAAGTTATGAGTGCTTTTAGATTGACATACACGTGTGAATCGGTTTTTTCAAAAATGAAATTCGTCAAGGATAAAGCAAGCTCAAATCTAACAGATGAAAACCTACATCAATTACGATGTGTAAATACAAGCATAAACAAAAGCTTAGTGAACGAGTTGAGAAACAAATATCTCACTAAATGACTAAATAGTGAAATTATTAATTAATACACCAAAACTTATTTAATAATAATAATTTATTCTGTTTAAAATGTTTAAAACTCCCATTTTTTTTTGTATTTTTTTGTATTAATACTAATATAATTTTATATGTGGCCTGCTGAAATGTCAACACAATTACTTATTGTATTATATGTATACAGATTGTAAATTTTTTCTATTTTAATAAAAAAAAAATATGTAACCTGCAGGATCGTAATGTATTTTTAAAGTGGCCAGCAAGATCATTTGTGTTGGCCACCTCTGTTGTAAGGCATATTTCAATGCGCATATTTGGTCAGTTTTTAATGTAGAAGTGCATGCTTAACTAGGTATTTTTAGGGAATGAACTTACGGACCTTAGTTATTACTCACAAATTTGTAATTTATTAATTAACTTTATATGATATAATAACAAGGTATGATGGCAATTCATTGCTAGGCTTACCCCCACCATCCATTAGTATTCAGTTTGCCGCTTCCCATTGGTTATCATGATTAGATATACAATATGAAGTGTATTATAATTTATAAGACAAACTGGATACAATGATATGCGCAAGACCTGACAATACTTCGGTTAGTTACCATCTACTTTGTTATTTTATCTTGATAAAATATAATATAATATAATATATTTTGGTTTTTAACATTCACTAATACAAACATCCTATATTAAAACTGTTATTAAATACTTTAATTAATTAAATATTTATATAAAATATAATACCTGAGCAGATTTATAAGCTAATTTTATTTCCACTTCACTGCTTCTAGCACCAAGCCATAAAAATACCTGCTCCCCATTGTCAAGCACCATTATATCATCATCAGCTAAATCATCCTAAAATTAATTATGTTTATATATTTTAATTAACTGTACAAATAAAATAAAATTCAAAATATGAAAAGTAAATAATGGTTTGAAATCCTAAATATATTCCAGTAAAATACTTTTTAGTGACTATAACAAGGGTGGCCAAATCGCGGCTGACATCATAGCAGCTTGCATCTTCAGAGTTTTACTAATATAATAATAGATATTATTTCTTTTTATGCTCTTCATATTATTTTTCATTATATGTGAGGCTCACAGCTCTTATTGCTGGGCGCTGGCCACCCCTGAACTATAAGAATTAAATTAATGGTGAACAGTCATGCATGTAGATGAAAACAAATTTTATCTTCATACATTAAAAAAAAAATTAGTTATACTGCCATTATATAAAAAGTTAACACTTACCTGACAAAAATCTGAACATTTTTCCGATATAGTGAAATATCCTTTTTCATTAGAACAACGAAATAGTCTTGTAAATTTCATATATTCAGCATCTTGCTCATAAGGCTTTTCACCGCCCAATGCTACCCAGAAAAAGTTATTGGGCTCTTCTCCTTCATTTATTACTTGTAAACTAGTCCATGCCTGATAGATAAGATAATTTAATAATTATTTTATTAATCATTAATTATTGACATTTGTAATACTTGCATCATTAAACATATCATCAGCAATTTCTTCAGCTAATTTTATATCTTCTGGGTCAGTTTTGGATCCAACCCATAAATATACAATTCCATTAGAATCTTCTTGATCAAATTTTACTTTTAAAATATAACTATAAATTTACA